CAGTTTGGAGAGATTGTTGTACTAGAACTCGTGCGGTGGTGGAGCGATAGTGAGCCTTTACTATGGCAAGAATTTTGGTTGGTACTGCATCTAGTTCCATTTTTCGCCACTGGGTGTCACGATGGATGGAATCGAAAGCGACGGCTAAGTCGAAGAAGCAGGCGGCCGTCGGTTGCTGGTAGCTATGGCGGAATTCGAGAATGCGCCTTGGTGTAAATATCTGGTCTGTACATCCACGCTTACTGCGGAGTCCAGCTTGGTTGGGCCGCGTCCTAGAGTCACGCACAGACTGGAATCACCTGAGAAGAACAGTAGCGAAGATCTCCACAGCAACGTCGATAAAACTTACGCCGCGATAGTTCTCGCATCTTATTTTATCTAACTTCTTGAAGACAGGTACAAGGATGCCTAAATCCCAGTAATCGAGAACAGTCTCGTCTCTCTACGCTTGTCCAATCACCTGATGAAGCCAAGGAGTCGGGGTGTCAACACAGGACTTGCAGACTTAAGAGGGAATACCGTCCTCTCCGGGCGTCCTGTTGTTGTGCAGCCTATGTATTGCATCGACAACTTCTTTTTCGGAGGGGAGGTTACACGACAGTATTGCCTGGAGAGGCTTGAAATTCCGCTGCGGAGGAGGGGAAGGGTTTGATGGGTTGCTCATCGAAGTTGAGGAGGTGGTCGAAGTGTTCACGCCAGCGATCGACCTTGGCCGAGTTTTCATCAATAAAGCTGCCATTCACATTGCGAACCCAATTACAGTATATCGAGGTCTTAACACTAACTTGGCGGATAATTTGGTAGTGTTCTCGTGTCACTAACATTTGAAGTTTGCTCCATATAAAACGCTGTTTCGGACCAATACTTCTGCCGGTCATCTCTAGCCGACTTTACTGTCAGCTTTCGGTGTTGTCGGAAGGAAGCATCGTTGCGGAACTTGGCTCGAGCCGTCTGGGCAGGCAGCTTCAGCGTTCTGCCGCTGATCCAGTCACTGCAACACCGCTGAGTGAATCTCAGCTGCCTCGTAGATGGATATCTTTAGTGATAACCACTTGCTACTGCCCTCGCCGTCGGCTTGGGTGCTAAGGCAGGACCGGATTTCTGTGCTTTGGACCTTGGTATTATTGTGTTGCGATATCAAGGCGTCTCGCACGTGGCATTCTGGGCGCAGATGAGAGGTTAACCTTCAGGCTTGTGCGAACGAGAACATGATCAGACCCGTGGACGTTACCAGTTTCGATGCCTGCTATCGTAGATCCAACTGCGAAACCGTGAAGCAACTAGAATGTAATCGAGCTGACTAGGGGTGCAGCCGTCGTTAGAATACCAGGCCAGTAGATGTTTGTAATGATAGTGAAAGCATGTGCTGCTAGCAAACAGTAGGTTCTGGTCATCAAACTGCAGCTTTCTCTTACTATTGGTGCATTGAGAGCCAAGCCCAAAAAGACCAATAAGGAGACTGGTTGACGGGCCACCGGGCCCAGTCCGGCCATGCCAGTCCCCGGCGGCAATTAGCAGGTCAAGGCGAGGAAGTCTTTCAACTAGCTCCTATAGTTGGGAGCACAAGTTTTCTTTATACTGCTGTTCAGCCGCTGATGTTGTGCACAGAAACGACAGAGATGTTCGTAAAGTGGCCCTTTAGTTGAACGAAAGCCATTCGGTCGTTAACTGATTTTCATGCCAATAGTGTACGGTTTGCGTGTACCGAGAGGATGATAGCCTCACCATGTCTACCAGACGAGTCGCGTGGGTCACTGTGATACAGAATGAGGTGGGAATCGACTCCCAGGATTATTATTTGTTGGGCGCCTGAGTCGGGGATTCGGACTTCAGACAGGCAGCAAACAGCCATGTGATATGGATGGAGACTGCGCGCCGTCAGACTTTGAGTACCAGGTTCCGGAAGTGTTGACACATTCCAGGATCCAATAGCAAAAGTCCGATTTCGATTGAGCAGTCAGGTTTGCATACTATTCGCCCGAACCACTAGACAAGGGTTGCGGAACGCGTCGGCTCCTATGGACGCCGTAGCATGAATGGTAATACTATGAGTTGACATTTTTGCATACAGGCGGGTCTCCAATAGTCGCTCAAATCTTGTTCTAGGTTGTCTCCTCCAGCACTTTGGCTCAAGAACCTGACCA